TAAACCAATTCAAAAGTCGACCTCTGTCTGCTCTTGATAGACGTGGCGATAAAAGAAACAAAAATAACAACACAACACTACCTCTTCGAAGTGTCGATATACAATTTTTGCTTGTGTTTGTTATTCTTAATTTGTATCTTTTTTATTATTTTTATGTTATTCATTTATTTTATCAGTTGTACTTTTAAATCTTCGTGTGGTTGTGAAATAATTTCGCGTGGGTCTTGATAGATAAGGGTTTTTTTTAAATTTATTATGTGTATTTAAGATTTTGTTTTGTCTTTTTGTCTCTTTTGAAATTATAGAGATGAGAGAAGGAAAACTGTGAATTCAATAAGACGATTTTAGTTTCTTAGCTGGTTTACACAATTTTTCTATCGGTTTGATTTTAACGTTCTCATAAATTTAATTTTCAACATCACTTTTGAACATATGCGAGTGAAATGTATGTCTGCTAAATTATCATTATACAGTAAATTTTGGCTCCTTCTTCCAAAAGAAACATTGCTCTTACTACAGGCTATTTCTGTGCAAGAGGTTTGTAATTTCTCAGTGGCTTTGAAGCCTGTGTGAGCTTTATATGTATTTTAATTTTGAAATATCATGTTTTCATTTTACAAACTGACATATTGTTTTAAAAGGACAATTCTCCATGTGCGCTTTGTTTGTGTAAGAGTTTTATTCAGATTAATTCGTGTGATGAGACATGACGTTTTAAGAGAACTTTGTTCTACGTTGACAGTTTTTTGTATGTAACAGAAATCACACTGTTCTCATGAATATTCTTCAGTTGTTTAAAGTGATTTTGAGGCAGAAGCTAACTCTATAGTCTCTGTTTTCTGTTTTGTTTTGCCGTGTTAAAACCGAGGAGTGAAAAGAAACAAACAAGATTTGGATCAGCAGAGATTTGATCTTGAAATTGTAAACTACTTCAGAAAACCAGATTTTCATGTCCGATACAAGTTTGTTGTCCTAAAACAAACAACGCTCTATTACGCAAGCGCGAAAGGTGTTCTGAAGTTTCGGTTGATTTAATTAACTGGAATCTTAGTGATTCCACCTTCCTCTTAAACCAGATCTTTAACTTTCGATATTCCAAGTCTTAAACTTCGGACATTCACAACACAATTGCTTTGGATGACACTGAGAATGTGGTCTTCTCAAGGCCGTGTTCTCGAGATCAGCTGCCCCAATATTTGCTTTGCGCAATCGTCCTTCTTTGCGGCCGAAAATTTGGTCGAAAATTTGGCTAATCTTCCTTGGGTCAACCATTGAAAATTTCAGTTCACGATTAAAACTCTAGCTGCTAAAAGTTTCCTAAGAAGTGAACAATAGCTCTAAATTAATATTCTAGTAAACCATCATTGACCTTGTGTACTGACTTTGAGCTTGTTAGTAATTTCAAAACTCCGTGGGAACTATTCGCAGGAACGTCATGTAAAAAAGGGCGCGAAAAGACGAGCCGTTCACCACATCTTACGACGCGATTGACTCTTGATTTTGTGATTTAGCGCCCAATTGGCCGAGAAGAAAACATCTCTGATTGGTGGAGTAAACTACCCCTGACATCTCGGCGCAGATCGGCTAAATCATTTCTTCAACCAGCTTAACACGAACCATTAAAAAAGCTTTCCTCACTACAAATACTAACAAGCTGTTTTTTTAGAACTGAAAGTCAGTCCATGAATTTGTTTACTTTATTTTATATGTACTATTTTAACATTTACAATGTTTTTGAGTGACAAGCGTGAGAAGTTTTCATGTAAGAAGAAAAAAGAATTAGCAAAGATAAACTTTTTTTCAAAACGATTGGTTTTGGATAAATAGGAAATCAGCTGCAAGAAATTTGGGCACAGTTAACAATTCTGCATTTAATTCATGAGTTATTAGCTAGGATTAAAAGTGCGTTAAGTATGGTCAAACGACACTATCTCCTGCGACTATTTGATGATTTTCTGCGGCTTGCCTATCGCACGCCTGAATTTGCAGGGCATAAACGTATGATCTTAAGACAAGCGTGAAGCGATAAGCAACGTTATATCAGATACAAAGCGCTTGCATCTTCCCTAATGGCTTTTACCATTAGAAATTGATTGTTCCTCGAAGACACGTGCGTCATCGCTCGTAAATGACAGTTGAAGACGTGGAGAAAATGGCGCAAAATTTCATGAGCAATTAAATTTCTTCCAAACGCTTTTTGCCGATCGACTATTAAGGGGCGAGACTTCTGTCGGCCGCCTTGTTTCACATTGCCCAGTCTATTGTAAACCCACTTTAAGCCTCCTTAAGAATTGGAAAAAGAGCTCTTGCGCGGACATAATGCGAAAAATCTCTTACTTCAAATATCGAACACATCTGGCGCAGTGATGAAGAGGAAAAACCTAAACTAAAATCACAAGTTAAAATATAAATGGCCATGGCTGTTTTGGTGTGTATTTTTAGCATTTTACGTGAACTCAAAAGAAATTATTACAATCTTTTATGAATATTAAAAGATCTGACCGCCAGTGTAACGATGTTATTGAAGGTGAACACAAGAGAGAGCTTTTTAATTCAGGGTAACGATTGTACGAAAAGCTGACGTCAGGCGAGTAAACGACTGATCAATTACCTGATCACCTATTTCCCAATTTTTGTCTTTTGTAATCATTTCCTGATTTAGTTTCTGGTACTAAATAACAATAAACAATTTTAGCTGCGGTTTGGCTGCACTGCTACCCCCGATTCGCTGTCTTCGCTGAGGGGAATTAAATTTATTTGCGCTCGTTTCAATTTCTAATTTGGAATCACCCGTGGCGTGGTAGCTTAATCAGAAAAAGCGCCAACTAAATTGCATAATTACTTCATTTGTTTGATGATTCCCGAGCCAACTGGGAGGTGGAGAATTGCCCCTTTGTCATGGTCAAGCTGTGGTTAGCTTTGTTCAGCAAAACAGATCTACTTATTTTCGTCCCTGTTAAGGGAAAGATGAGTGAGAGGTTGGCGTCGCGGTTCTGAGAGATTTCGTCTCTCTGACGACAGATGAGCAACCAGATGGCTCCGCAAGAGAGCATGCGCAATGATCAGCCCACTCGACGCATGTGCGTCAGAGCTCGGAAACGCTGTCTCATTGAAGGTGTCAGTACGTGGCTGTCATCATTCGTGAAAAAAAAAACACGTTCTTTAACAAAAGCCGTGTAATCATGTCCTGCCTTTGCCGACTCGTTTCAACCCTTAGGCATCGTCCTCGATAAGCGGAAAATAAATTGTTCCTTTTTCCTTCCTTCAGATATTGTCTCTCTGTTTTACCCGTGAAGGACTCATTGTTTCGCTAGTTCCGCACATAGTGTTATCATTAAAATGAACTAAAATGTGAAAATGCGCCAGCAAGCTTATTTTTATTGATGACCCAGGAGCTATGAAGTGCATTCAAATGCTTTCCTGTTCACTGAGGGCAGGTGGCACTCTTTCAACAGCGCGTGCGCATTCAATCGCAGCATTGTTTATAGCATCTTACGGATTCTGAATAACGAGAAATACTTTTTTTTAAAACCTCAGGGGGAAGCATTGAGCTTAAAGGAGATTGCCAAGGGTGATTTTCTCGCTCGCTTCGAACCAGTTGGATTGCACTTACGATCCGTCGAGACTCACTATATTTTACAGTTTTGCTCCCAAGAAATCGAAACAGACTTTCACACTTTGGGTACCGAGTGCAAGATTTACTTTTTCGCAAGGCTGGACCGCAATTAATGGTGTATGTTATTGACGGTTCGCGCTAGAAGTTCGAGCACGAGAAAATTGTGAGACCTGGGCAAATTGTCTGAGAACTTACAAAGTATTAAAGAGTCGCGCTGTTGAACTCTTTAACAAGCTATAATGCAGCGCGGGCGAATGGCTATGTGGTAAATAGGTCTTTGTGCCGTATAATTCAGTTTTATTTCTTATTCGCGTGGTTTAATATTCCAGAGAAAAGAAGAGGAAATTTGGTGCTCTTCCAGACGTAATTACGATGAAAAGAGCAAGACTATAGTAGCGTATGCTTCGGCTATGTCGCTGAAGGACATTCGGTTATCTTCTCCAGAGGACCCGCGTGCCAATGAAAAGGTCGTGATTAATGTTGGTGGTACACGGCACGAGACTTACACAGGTACTCTTAAAAATATCCCTGATACAAGATTGTACTGGATCACAGAGAACAAAACACAGCTGCCGGAATACGACCCTAATACGAACGAGTATTTCTTCGACCGCCATCCGACCGTGTTCGCGCAAATTTTGAATTTCTACCGTACGGGTAAGCTTCATTGCCCCAATGATGTGTGTGGCCCGTTATTTGAAGAGGAGCTGGCGTTCTGGGGAATTGATGAGCTTCAAGTCGAATCATGCTGCTGGTTGAATTACAAAAAACATCGCGAAGCGCAAGCGAATTTGGACACGTTGGACGGGCATGATTCTGACAGAGATAGCCTTTCCGACATGGACATGACCGTGTACGGCCTGGTCGCCGAAGGTATTAGGAATAGAAATCGCTCTTTATGGAGAAAATATCAGCCTAAAATTTGGACCACATTTGAGGAGCCTTATTCATCTCGCCTGGCTCAGGTTAGTGACAAAGATCTGTATAAAAGAAAAACATGATTCTAATTTGCGCTTCATTTTGCTTACGTATTGTCAATATTGTTCAATTTTACACGAATCGCTCAAGAACTGCAGAACTCTGCTTGACGCACCTATGTGATACGTATTAGGCTTTGACCATTTTATTTATTTGAATCTTATAGCTAGAATTAGAGTCGTTTAGTATTGTGTGAAAAATATTTCGGCCAAGGTCAGTGTTATTTTGGTTTCCAAGTGACACTAGCGATAAACTCTTCGGAAGGCGCATGATTTACCACTAAGTATTTTACGTGTGTACACTCGGTAGCGACAGAACACGGCGTCTGATTAACAACCCGGTACTGCACAGTTTCTTTTTCATTTTCTCATTAATCTGAATGTGATACAAAACTGTGGTATATTTTCTACGAAGAAATTTTCGCCAATTTATCCATATAAGCGACGCGTTGCCGCTTTGTCATTATGCAATCCGCATAAAGGAGAAAGTGATCGTAAACGCTCAAAGGCGACGTGGTAGTGTTTATAGTTAATCGCTCTCAAACAAACAATCTTAAACGCGGACACTTAGGTCGCTCCAGATTAAATCCTTCTGCGGAATTATCCCGTTGATATTTCCTCTGCTTTTACGAGGATTTACGGATCAGTCACTCTGACGAAGAAGTCATATTAATAAACAATATGAGTTTGCGACCACAGAGTGAAACTGAAACCTGAATTTCAACCAAGGTTTGCGGCAGGTGGCTGGCGAACACGAAAAAAGGAAATTAATTCGAATTGAAGTTTTGCATGAAGTTTTATCGTGAAGTTTTCCAAAATGAAAGCTTCTCTGACAGTGTTTTATGTTTAAATGGAAAAATTAATGAAAATTTATGGTAAATTGGTGATTTTTTGACACAATAGTGAATTTGCACTGTAGTAAATAAACCGCTATCGCGTTCTTCATTCGGTGGTCGACATTTTCTTGAATTTTTCCTTTTAAACCCCTTCATTTCTAAGAAAAATCGTTTTCTGTGCTTGGCAAAGTGACCGCGAAATTACCGATACTTAAAGATCTTTAGTTCAATCTATTTTGAAAATCAATTTCGCTCTAACATTAACTATAGTTATAAACACGATTTAAAACCGCTTGATCACGCATGCGTGTTAGGTCGGTCATCAAAATGGGTTGAATGAAATTTAATCTGAGTCAGTTTTTGATCGTTTTCAAGTCATAAACACACGGAGCTTGTATAGAATAAATTGCTTAGTATTAAGGTAGCGTTGCTGTAACAAAATAGAAAACTATCAGCACCTGCTTCGGCCTACGCGATTTTAATTTTCTAAAAGAAAAATGAAGGTTGAGTTCCGTTGCTTAATAAGAACTGCACTTAAATAAAATAAATTATAAAATCTAAGCAGCGAAATAAGCAGTGAACAGATGTATCTACTCTTTCTCTTACGCATGTAATTAAAGTTGTGGATGTCACCATTTTATTCCAAAACGTCATGTAGTAAAGTGTGAAATTTTTCATTTATTATCTCTTAAATCTCACTAGGTTAAGCTAAATGACGGAAGCAAACCACACCATAATTTCGCGAACCTTGTTGTTATAAAAAA